GTATTTTCTTTGTTAGGGGAGCTCAGCTGTTAGGCATCTATGCTGCGGCAGCTCCCAGCCAAATAAATCATCACTTCCTTCCCAGTTTGGTGTTCGAGAGATTTGTTTCACAGCCTTTCCTGCTTCATTATTTGGTTCCCTGATTGGGAAGGGAGTTTTGGTTGGCGGCCAGCCAGCACAGTCTTTCAGGTGGTTTTGCCTTGCCCTGTGAAGCATCCCTGTGGGGGACTTCAACCCACTTAGGCAACGCAATTCCTAAGAGCACTACTGGTCAGGTATTGGGGCCGATGGAAAGCCTCGCCAGAGCAGAGCAATAAAGTTCCCACAGTGTGGATCCACCCAGCGCTGAACACCAAGAAGGAATGAGTGCCTGGAGTGTCTGGATGACAGAAACATGGTAGGGTAGATCCCGGGAAACCTGCCCACCACCTTTAGGTGGAAGTGTGGCCTGATCACCCACATGTGCTGGATTTGCACTCTTGAACTCAGCTCTCACGCTCTCTCTCTCTCTCTTTCTATAACTAACCTTGGAAGTTTTGCTTTTGGTTTCAATTTAGGTGGAGGGAGGAGTGTGATTGTGTGAGTGACTGGAGGGGTCCAACTGGACTTGCCAGCCATGAAATGGGGGGGCTGCAGGCCCATTAGAGAGGACCCAAAGCTCTGAGCGACCTGTGGGGTTGGTTGGGATTGGGGCAATCGCATATGGCTAGACAGAGGTGCCCTCATAATCTAGACATTGTGAGGGGAGTAACGAACTCTCCAATGCCAAGTGGCATCTGAAACATTTCCAAGAAGGAGATGATTCTGCCGGCCTCAAGTGAAAGTGAAACAGAGTGTGTCAGGTCGTAATGGGTGGGGAAACGGGGAGGAGTGTGATTGTATGTGATTGGAGAGGTCCAACTGGACTCACCAGCTGTGAAATGTGGGAGCAGCAGGTCCCTTTGAGAGGTCCTTAAGCTCCAAGTGACTTGTGGGACCAGATGGGTTTAGGGGCGATCTGCATATGCCTAGAAAGAGGTGCCCTTGCAATCTAGGTATTGTGAGGGGAGTAATAAACTCTCCAATGCCAAGCAGCATCTGAAACACTCCCAAGAGGGAGACGATCCTACTGGCCTAGAGAAAAAGTGAAAAAGAATGTGTCACACCATGCTGGGTGGGAGAAACTGAGGGTGGAGTAAAATTCTCTTAACTGTCTGTGAGGACTGTTTTTCTGTGCAAAAACATGGATCACACTCATAGCAAGCCTACTCCTTTAGGGACTATGCTGAAAAATTTCAAGAAGGGATTTAGTGGGAATTATGGAGTAACTATGACACCAGAAAAACTGAGGACCTCATGTGAGGTAGACTGGCCAGTATTTGGGGTGGACTGGCCCTCAGAGGGGAGCCTAGACAGGTCTCTTGTCTCCAAAGTATGGCATAAGGTTACATGCATCAAGCCAGGACACCCTGATCAATTTCCATACATATATTCATGGCTGCAGCTTTTTCTAAACCCCCCACAGTGGCTGAGAGGACAGGCAGCAACCGTACTGATGGCAAAGGGACAGGCAGCTAGGGAAATACCCTGCTCCACCCGCCAAGGGACACAGTGTCCTAAGGTCCTGGCATATCCAGCTGCAGAGGAGTCTTTGCCGATGATACCCTATCCCCCTGGTCTGGAGAAAGAACTCCTCACCCTTGGGCCTGAAACCTCAGCACCCCTGCCAGAATTGCACACCCCTAAACAGCCCAGGGTAGACAAGAGAGAATGTGGGGGGACTCCTCCCATAGCCGCCCACTTCCTGGAAGGAACTCCTCCTATAGCTGCCTGCCTGTGACCCAAGGCAGGGGTACAGATGCAGAGGTATATGGGAATGGATGAGGATGGCCACACAGTAAAAAGGCATGTTTTTACATACCTGCCATTCACCTCAGCTGATCTTATCAACTGGAAAAATAACGCCCCATCTTATAACAAGAAGAAGCCACATGCTCTCACTGACCTATTGCAAACTATCATCCAAATTCACAACCCAACATGGGCTGATTGCCACCAGCTACTTATGTATCTTTTTAACATGGATGAAAGGCAGAGAGTACTCCAGGCTGCTTCCAAATGGCTGTGGAGGAGCATGTTCCAGCAGTTTACCAGAACCCCAAGAGTATGTTAGGGTCCAGTTACCACACACTGACCCCCCTGTGGGATCCAAACACCCCAGAGGACAAAAGGCTAATCTGGTACAGAGAGCCCTCACTAGAAGGATTGAAAAAGGGAGCCCAGAAAGCTACAAACATCAGTAAGTCTCTGAGGTTATCCAAGGGAAAGAGAAAAGCCCAGCACAGCTCTATGAGAGGCTGTATGAAGCACATTGCATGTATACTCCTTTCGATCCTGAGAGCCCCGAAAACCAATGCATATGGTAAATATGGCATTAGTCAGTTAGTATGCAGAAGACATTAGGTGAAAGTTACAGAAGCAGGCAGAATTTGCAGACATGAATACTTCACAGTTCTAGGAAACAGCTAACCAGATGTTTGTGAACAGAGACGCGGTAAGCCATAGGGAGAGCTGTAGAGAAAATGAGCATAAAGCTCAATGGAGCACTGACTTGATAGCTGCCACTATTAGAGGAGCACCCCCAGAAGGGCGGGGAAAGGGGGGCTCCTGGAAGGCTGCCCAGTCTAATCGCCTGTGCCTGCAGCATAACCAGTATGCTTACTGTAGGGAAGTGGGACACTGGAAGGACAAATTCCCCCAGTTGGCAGGAAAACAGGGAGATCTTGACCACGAGGCTTCAGATAAAAGTAAAGGAGCTCTGTTCAATCTAATGGAAGGGCCACTGGACTGAACGGGGCCAGGTTCAACTGCCCCCAAATAGCCCATGGTGATGATGACAGTACTGTAACCCCCACATCAAAGGAAAGAAACAACCGATGTTGTTGGAGCTACTGAGTATCAGAGAAACAGTCTTTCTGTTTGCTTTGGACTTGTGAGGTGGAGGGGCACGAGGTGATTCACCAGTTCTTAGACATGCCCTATTGCCCTTTGCCCCTGCTAGGAAGGGATCTGCTCAGTAAGCTACGGGCAGCCATCACCTTCACCAAGAGTGGCTCTTTACGGCTGGCATTGCCTAAAACTGGAGTCATAATGGCCTTCAGGGTGCCTCATGAAGAAGTATGGAGGCTCTTCTTAACCAAACCAGACCAGGAGATAGAACATGCATTAGCAAAATGATGGCCTAAGGTCTGGGCAGAGGACAATCCACCAGGGCTGGCAATCAACCAGGCCCCTGTGCTCATTGAAGTCAAGCCTGCGGTTCACCGGTTGGGCAAAAGCAATATCCAGTTCCCTGGGAGACCCCAGAAGGCATGCAGGTCCACCTAAAACACTTAAAGGACTATGGAATTATAGTTCCTTGCCAGTCTCCATGGAACACCCCCCACTTGCCTGTTCCTAAACCAAGGACCAAAGACTATAGGCCAGTGCAGGACTTGTGTTTGGTTAATCAAGCCACAGTGACTTTGCACCCAACTGCACCTAACTTGTACACACTGTTGGGATCATTACCAGCAGAGAATAGTTGGTTCACCTGCTTGGACTTAAAGGATACTTTCTTTAAGGCTTGGACTTGCCTCAGAGGGTCAGAAACTATTTGCTTTTCAATGGAAAAATCCAGAAACAGGTGTAACCACTTAATACACTTGGACCTGACTACTACCCCCAGGGGTTCAAGAACTCTCCCACCATCATTGGGAAGGCATTAGCCCATGACCTCCAGAAGTTTCCTGCTAAGGACTTAGGCTACATGCTGCTCCAATATGCTAATGGCCTTTTACTGGGACACCCTATGGCAGTTGGGTATGCTAAAGGAACAGATGCCTTACTTTGGCACCTAGAGGACTGTGGGTATAAAGTGTCTAAAAAGAAAGCCCAGATTTGCTGACAGCAAGTTTGATATCTGGGGTTCACCATCCAGCAGGGAGAGCACAGCCTAGGAGCAGAGAGGAAACAAGTCATTTGCAACCTGCCAGGACCCAAAATTAGAAGGCAGGTGAGAGAGTTCCTGGGAGCCATGGGTTTCTGTAAACTGTGGATTCCAAACTTCGAGGTACTGGCCAAACCCCTTTATGAAGTCACTAAGTGGGGGCAAATAAAGAGGGATAGATCCAGCTGCCAGATGGAACAGTAGCAGTGCCACAGCTATGGGGGCTGTGGTTGTACGGGCTATACACAAAACCACTCAATTAGGTCAAGAGTCACTTGAGAAGCTGTTAGGCCGGTATTTTTACATCTCACACGTATAGCCCTGACCAAAACTGTGGCACAGCAATGCATTACATGTCGCACCACAACGCGAGGCAAGGTCCAACTATTGCCCCTGGCATTCAAGCCATGGCGCAGCTCCATTTGAAGATCTCCAGGTAGATTTCACTGAAATGCCCAAGTGAGGTGGGCATAAGTATTTGTTGGTCCTGGTGTGCACATACTCTGGGTGGGTAGAGGCCTTCCTGATTGAAAAGGTCCATGAAGTAACCCCTGTGCTTCTTCGAGATCTCATCCTTAGGTTTGGACTGCCACTGTGCATTGGATCAGACAACGGATCAGCATTTGTGGCAGATTTGGTCCGGAAAACAGTGATGGCATTGGGTATTACTTGGAGGCTACACACTTTACCAAACACAGAGTTCCGAAAGGTGGAGTGGATGAACTGGACCATTAAGAATAGCTTAGGGAACATGTGTCAGAAAGCAGGATTAAAGTGGGTGCAGGCACTTTCCTTGGTGTTATTCAAAATCGACGTACTCTCTCTAAGAAGACAGGGTATTCCCCCTATGAAGTCTTGTATCATAGGTCCCCTCCTATACTGTGGGCACTCCCAGGAACTCCTCAGGAAAGGGGAGAAATTGAGCTAGGATGACAGCTACAAGCTGTAGGAAAAATCACTCAGGACATTTCAACCTGGCTAAATGAAAGAGGCCCTGAAAGCTTATTCTCCCTGGTTCACCCTTTCTCACCAGGTGATCGCATGTGGATAAAAGACTGGAATGTAGTCCCCCTGAAGCCACAGTGGAAAGGACCCCAGTCCATGATCCTGACCACTCCCACAGCCATAAAGGTGGAGGGAATCCCAGCCTGGATCCACCACAGCCACGCAAAACCTGCAGCAACTTGGGAAGCTAAACCTAGACCCAGACAACAACTGCAGAATCACCTTAAGAAGGACAACCATCCTTGCTCCAGCCACATCTGGAGGCTGGCTGGTCCACACATGGCGAAAGTCATTGTGGGACTTACTCTCCTTAAAAATTTGAACTTACATAGTAGGGATATTAACTGATTTCGGAGAATGCTCTCAGTGTGTGTACCAGGTTACTGAGGTAGGAGGGAAAGTTGCTGTCCTTCTTTTGTTCTACAGTTATTATGAATGTGCAGGGACACAAAAGGGAATCTGTTTATATAATGGTACTCAGTAAAAGGTGTGTAGCCCAGGGGATGGACAACCTGATGTCTGCTATGATCCATCAGAACCCCTATGCATACAATTTTTGAAATTAAACTCCTAACAGGGCAAAGGAACAGCCCTACTAAGTTAATAGCTAAAATAGAGGATCAGGAAAATGAGAATGAGAGTAAGAGTGAGAACTCTCACTAATGTTATAGGTGAGATTCTCAAAGTGAGGAAGGAGACTCTTAATCTGCTTAAGCTTCTAGGAGCCCTTCCCCCTAGACTTCTACATTGCATTTCAATAGGAGAAGTAAAGGCCGGAAGACTTGGGCTCCACCCTTAATTGCACACCTATAGATTGCAGGCATAGTATGGATGGAGGAATCTTTCTGGAAGGTGTTGTTTTTACTTAAATATGATCACACCCCCACCTAAGTCACATACCCCTTACCTACTTAATGGATCAATACCCTTTAACATGTAATTTCTAGAGTTGTAAGCCCAAGACCCTTTCACATGTAATTTCTAGAGTTGTAAGCCTTTAAAAAGGCAGGGATTTTCTTTGTTAGGGGAGCTTGCCTGTTAGGCATCTATGCCTTCACAGTCCTGGCCGAATAAATCATCACTTCCTTCCCAGTTTGGTGTTCAAGAGGTTTGTTTTGTGGCATTTCCTGCTTCCATCTCACTTAGTTTTCTCTAGAAATAATATTTCTCTAGAAATAATAGTACATATATATTCTATGAAATATGTACTATTATTCCCTATTTTGGTACTGAAAAAAAACAAAATATCTCATAAATTAAGAGATTAAGCACAGGATTTGCCCAAGGTCAGATAGCTATCAATGCTGGAGCTGATGGGGCAATTCCCCAGCCTGAACTTTTAATAAAAGTAGTATACTACTTCCTCCTGCCAGAGGCTAACATGAGGTTTCCAACTCTCATCCCTGTCAGAAAAAGGAAAAAGAAAATTAATACTCACTGCTGACGCTTCAAGCGAATAGTTGAAAAAAGTGATTCAGGCAGTAATCTCATTCTCAACAGCTTTATTGAGATATAATTCATGTATTTTATAATTCACCCATTTAACATATACAATTTTGTGGTTTGTAGTATATTCGCAGAGTTGTGCAACCATCACCACCATTGGTTTTAAAATATTTTCATTATCCTCAAAAGAAACCCCATTGCTATTAGCAGTCACCCCCCATTCCTCCATCTCCCTCAGTCCCATACAGTATTGACTCTACTTTCTATGTCTATATATTTGCCTATTCTGAAATTTCATATAGAATCATATATTTGGTCTTTTGTGAATAACTTCTTTCAGTGACTACTGATGGGATTCAAGATATGCTACCCCAAAATATGACTGTAGGGGACAGAATATGCCACCCCAAAATATGCATCTTTAGCATAATTGTTTTGAGCTGATTATCTGGAGAAACTGCAAATACAGGAGAAGCACTGAAAACAAGAAAAATTACCCTTTTGTAAAATAAATTTACATTTATAAAGGAAATTGCCATTTGCAGGGCTGTCTCCTTCCTATATCAGGAAGAGAAGGATGACTCTCAATCATTAGAAACTATTTTATGTTATAAATGGAGAAGGCACCAACTTAAATCTGCGTAACAACTTTACCTTTGTTTACTATGCTTTTCCTGGGTCTCTCCCCATAACTAGCCTTCCCTTCCATGGTATTTATGCCTGAACTCAAAGCCACCTCTTTGGGATTTACTTATATTCCCTTAGGTATCCCATGTACACATGAGGTATGCATGTTAATAAACTTCTGTTATTCTCTTGATAATCTGTCTTTGTTAAAAGGGTCTGTCTCAATTGAGAACTCTCAAGGGTAATTATTTTTCAGGATCCCAGTTTTCTAAGTTTGGGTTCAAAGATAGAACTGGATTCAAATGATAAAATTATACCTATTTATAAGAGATAACATTAAGTGAAAAAAGTAGAATGCAAAACTCTCTAAATATAGTTAAACTAAATATAGCCCAAGAAGGATTCTGTACTTCTATATTTGAGTCCTTATGGATGAACTGTAACCTAACCTAATAGGTAGACAAGGTTGAAAACTTAGGAGTATGCACCTATAACAATCACTGAGTTTTGGCCAATCCCAGCAGCCATACTTCAACCAGTCATATACTACTGAGGGTTCAAGCTGTGTTCAAATAAGGCAAGTGTTGTACCAATCCAGCTGTTTCTGTACCTCACTTCTGATTTCTGTATGTCACTTAATTTCTTTTGGTCTATAAATTTGTTCTGACCACAAGGCATCCCTGGATCTCTGAATCTTGTCATTCTGGGGGCTGCCCGATTCACAAATCATTCGTTGTTCAATTAGACTCCTTTAAATTTGATTCAGCTGAAGTTTTTGTTTAAACAAATGGTATTCAGAAGTGGGAGTCTGAAGTACAGCTTCTAACGACCCCCAGGAGTGCTGAGTGAACAAGTAAGGTGCCTGCAGGACCCACCTGTGTCCTTTAATCTCTCAAGAGTGGCTGGGGAGTGTAAGTTTTTTCTTGGATTTCAGAGCTCCACGGATTTGCATTTTGAGCTCTCCGAGTTTCTTTGAGCAAATTTCTGATCCAATCTAGGTTTGGAAGTCATGACAGAAACTGGGCTGGGTCCAGGAATGGATTTGATCCGGTAATTAACTGGCTGGGATCCAGTTAGAGGCCTCTTACATCTGACTGGGTCAGAAAGAAACTGACAGCAAATGGTAATAGTTTAGGGGTATAAAATTTGGCTCTTTAAGATTTGCAAGGAGTTTTTTTGACCCCTTTGTTTCATTTTTCTTGCCCATTTAGGTAGGAAAAATCATTGGCTAAGTTAATCAAGGGAATCTGAGAGCAAAGCCAATGTTTTATGTAAAGATGGGATCCTTAATTTCTGAAAAACTGAGTTCCTTCTGGCTTATACATTAGGCACAGAAGGCAGCGAAGTCTTAGAGAAAATGGTGAAATCTTGGTAAAGGCAACTTACAGTAGAACGTTCTGAATAAATAACAATGCATTGAACTGCATTTACAAATGAGAGCCCCCCCAAAATTATATCTGCTACTCTTTCAGCTTAGTTACTATCCTGATCCAAAGGAAACAGACTGCAGCACCAATTGGCTGACTTTGGATAAGTAATGGGGTACATTTTACCTGAGTAAAAGATGGGATTGGGGTATAGGTCCTTCCCTCAGTAAAGTCCTTCTTGGTTGAAAATGGATTAAAGGTGACAGGGTCCAACCAGGGGTAAGTTTGAGGCTTGCCAGTTCAATATTGGGTGCTAGGCAGAGTGGCTAATGTCTAGGTTTAGTCACACGTATTTTGCTCTGGCCAGAATGAAAAATGTTAATTGGGTTACGCCATGTAACCCCTTGGGTGGCAACCTGTAAAACTGAGAGGCTTTTGCCTATGGAACCACAAAACAAAAAATATGATTTTCCTTTATGATACGGCTTGGCCCCCAGGGTTATAGTGTGGCAAGTGGGGTAACTAGGGCCTCTCAGGGAAAAGGAACCCAGAAGTCTGGCCTGCCGGCAAAACGGTAACAATTTCTTACCAGTCAGACCCTGACGTTTCTCTCTCCGTGCAAACTCGTTAAATGAATTGTAAAAGTCACTGTTTATCTCCTCTATAAAGTTTGGATTAATACAAAAAAAAGACATCTGAGACCGGTCTTAAGCTGTAGTGAATCTGGTGTGCTTTGCGTCTTTCTGTATTGTTCTGCCATAAAGTGGGTTACCTCAGGATAAAATGCGTGCCTAGGACCCCGGAAGTCTGCTGTTCAAGACGGCCCAGAAAACTGGTCCATTATGTCCTTGGAGCTCGACCTTGTAACCATGTGGCTGTGCTTTCTCTTTTCACAATGGCGGCCCAGGTTCAGGGCTCACTTCTTGGCTTAGGGAATGAATACTTTCTGGTTTGAGATCTGCGTGACCTTGACCATTGATTCTCTTCCCCTCCATGAACCATCTTAAATTTTCTTTTTCTGAGCACAGAAATTGGCCATTTGGCCTAGCCAAAGTTGGGTAATAAAAGATTTAAAATGACTTTTTTAAAAAGAGTGCTATGATTAAATATCAGCTTAATTAAAAGCAGATATTCAAGCTCTAACAGCCTGGGACTCCCTGGGAAAAACAGGGTGTGCCAGAGACCACATTTTGGGGGAAAAAAACCAAAACCTGTTTTCCTCATGGAACCCCAGGAATTGGAAATGGATATATCCACCCAAAATCTAAGGTTCTGTTCTCTTTGGGATCCAGGAGCTGAAATAAAAATGGGACCCTTAATTTGTGGGGACCTGTTTTGCCTTCCTGCTGTGCCTGCTTATTACACTGGACCCTAGAAACTACATGCTGTCCTGGCCCTGTTCTTCTAAGGACTCTACCCTAAAGCCAGTAATCCAATTTAAGAAAATTTTAAAACTGGCAAATGAAAAATCTTACAACTACTGGATCCTCTGTGTAGTATACATGTATTGCATATGTAATGTTTATATGAAATAGCTCTAATTAATAGGCTTTAAGAATAATAAGTGCCTATTTTGTCAGAAAAGTAAAAACTGTAATGTTTTAGTTCACATAACTTTAGTAATCTTTGGGAAATAAAAACTGCTTCCTAAGCTTTTGAAATTGTTCAGTTTACCTACTTTGGAGCATTAGATTGTAGGTAAGGCCTGGGGACATGTGGAATTAGCCATGCCCCCTAGCTATGCAAAGAAGATTATAAAGAAAAGAGATTTTATATAAGAAAGATTTTGTATGGGTAATTCTTGTCCTAAAGTAAAATAAGTGGTTGTTTAAAAAGAGAGATGTTTAGAATAAGTCAGAAAATCCATGCATGATATAAATGGCCGTGTTAAATAATGAAAGGATTCATGAAAGGACATTTATGCACCAAAAGCAAAAGTTGCTAAGAGTTAGCATTATAACATGTGATTGAGATGACTGAAAAAATAGTTTTACAAGCAAGGTGTGTGAGAAGAATGAAATGTGTATTTAGTGAAAGATTATAAGGCATGGGAATGTAAATTTTTGCCTGGTTTAGAGGGTTAAAGGATTGTTTTAAATTAGATAAGAATAAGCTAAAGGCTTGAACAAGTTGTAAAAGGTCTGTAAAAATTAATCTTGTAAAAAAATTCTGTGTATGAACACACTGACTAAATTTAAAACACTATTTTCCAGTTTTTTCATAAATTGAATACAGAAATAAAAGCACAAACAGGGTTTTTGTAAAGCATTGATCTGCTCTTTAATGAAAATTTGTAAAGGGCTATAAAAGGTTTATGAGAATCTCCTTATGGTCAAACTGATTAAGATTGGAAAGATTAAGATTGGACAATCTTAATCTTAAGATTATCCTTTGTTTTTAAGGTTTTATTAAAAATTGGAGTTGATTTGTCTGTAAGATTTTACTAAAAATTAATAGTACAGTAATGCAAGAGTGAAATTTGGCTTTCTCTCTTGAACAAGATTTTCATGTAATATTAAAAGATAATGAAAGATTTTTGTTTGCCTTTTAAATAAACTACCAAAAAGGGGTGAGGGGAAAGAGAGAGATTGCAAAGTTAAGTCTTCACTCTATCAATGAGTAAATGTATTTAGCTTTTAAAAAAAATTTTGACTCATTTTGGCTAAATGAATGACTTATGGCAACCTGGAATTCTATTTCATAATGTCAAGTATTTTAAACTTTTACCATATTTGATAGGGTACCAAAATCAAATTTCAGCTTTGAAACTGTCTTTTCTTTCTTCTAACACTGAAATGCTACAGAGGGCCCCTAAAGCATCCAAAAGAGAGGTAAACAGATTTGACATGTTACATGGGAAGCACTATCAAAAACTAAAAAGTTTAATCTTCTTCAGATTGTATTTTAGCGAATGATACTAACATATGTTCCAAAATTGTATGGGATCTCTAAAATTCTAATATGTCTGAGTATGTGCTATCATTCAAAATACTACTATTTTATGTTAAGTTATTGTAGAACACAGAAATAACCAAATTTCCTTCTCAATTGTGTTTTTATCTGTAACTAGTTATTTCCACAGTTAAATGCTTAATGCTGATGTAGTTTCTGAAAACTTCATGAGCACACAAAATCCTAGAATATGGTGTCTTTTAGGAGGTTCATGAAAGGATGAAAATGACCCTAAAAAGCACCCCTAAATACAGGTTTCTAATAACTTTAGAATCATCATTTGAACTGGGTAAAAATTCCTGGAACTTGAATGAAAAGACTGACTGGGTTATAAAACTGCTAACCCAAGCAGAACAAAAATTAATTAAATACCAAGAAAATACTTTGCCAGATTTTAATGCAAAATCAGCTGATACTGAAATTGTTTAGATACACAATTTGAATGAACTCTATGGTCTAAGTCAAATTACTGATAACCCATCAGTTATGAGTGCTATGCAATTAGGTTGAAGAAACAACTGGTACTCAGGAGGACATAAGTCTAATGTTAATTAAGCATGGATTCATGGAGAACCAGGATGGCCACCTTGTCCTTCCTGAGTCCTGAAAGCTTTTGTTATTAAAAGTTCTGTATTCCATGACTTGTCATGGAAAAGAAAAAATGATCCAAATTGAATACATTGGTATGGTAACTTACAAATTGCTAAAATAGTTTATAAACAATGTTTGGTTCTATCTTCCTGGGGGAAAAAAAATCAAAGCTTCAGGTACATTTGGTCACCTCATGGGCATTTAAACATTTTTTTAAAAAATTTCATTCAACTATTATTTTCAATGCATGTTTTCTGGTTGTATAAAAGCTCTCCCATGTGAAAGGGCTAATGTTATAACACTAAACTATTATTCCACAGTGTATTTTCACCAGGTAAAGAAAGCTTTTTATGGTTCACTGAGGACAGTCAACCCCTTCACAATCTAGAACCTGAAGACTGGATCCTCTAAGAACATCAGAGAAAGACTGTTCTTGCCATCCACATTGCAGCAAAACTTTGGAACCTTGAATTTTCAGTTCATAATCTCACAACTGAAAAGGGTCCTTCCACACTCTTAGAAATGCACACCCATTAGAACCCTTAGAGTAAAGCTACCCAGGTAATCTCTCCCCAGAAGATAGCATCCTTGATGTGAACAGCTTTTTCCATGAACACAGATCAAGACTTCTACTATCATGAGACTCCTAACTATGAATACTTTTTCTTATTTATGCTTCTACAAACAACAGAAATGAAAGAGGGTCTGTTGTGTGCACTTATAGGGTATACTTTTATTTGTGAAGGATTTTGCAGCTACACTTACACATGGATAACCTTATATTTCATAAGGTAAAAGATGAAGGCCCAATGTAGGTGAGAAATTTTAATGGTACATATGTTGCCTCATTATCAGTCAGAAACAGAACATTAATTCACTCCTCTTAACCTACATCATGAATTAAAAGGAACACTGCTGGCTGGGCGGGGTGGCTCATGCCTGTAATCCCAGCACTTTGGGAGGCTGAGGCAGCCACCTGAGGTTGGGAGTTCAAGACCAACCTGACCAACATGGAGAAACCCCGTTTCTATTAAAAATACAAAATTAGCTGGGCATGGTGGGGCATGCCTGTAATCCCAGCTACTCGGGAGGATGAGGCGGAGAACTGCTTGAACCCGGGAGGCGGGGACTGCAGTAAGCTGAGATCACGCCATTGTACTCCAACCTGAGCAACAAGAGTGAAACTCTGTCTCAAAAAACAAAAACAACAACAACAGCAAAAAAAAACAAAAAACAAAAAACACTACCAGGAAGCTTTCACTCTTCTAGAGGGACATAATTTGTTAGGTCCTTTGTCCATGGTTTGTAATGAAAAAGGCAATGATTAGAATGAATCCCACATAATCGGCTCTATAGCAGATTCTACTATAAAGGCTATGGTTACACAACAGACTTTAAATTCTCTTGCGAAAGTTATACTAAATAATAGAATTGGCTAAACAGAAAAGTATTTGTGTATGTGCAGGGGTTGGCACTTATGGCCTATAGAGAAAAAATCTGGTATTATAGAGATTTAGTTGTAGGGGATTAATGAAGAGACTACTTAGTTAAGTGAGCAGACTCTTTAGCTTTCTTTGATATATTTGATTTTAGGTGGTTTGCTTTATGGGGACCCTGGGTTAGGAGCATACTCCAAACTCTTGTTATTATCCTTTCAATAGTCATAATTAAATAGTCTTCCTGGTGCACTCTATTCTATCAAAGGTTTTAAATGTTTGCATACAGCCATCTCTAGAATGTCAAATGGTCTCTCTTCAACTGGAATGACAAGAGCTGAAAGAAATATTATAGGGCACCATACCCTATGAATGACACGCTGAGACTGGAAACCCAAAATGATGGTAACTAAGAGTGGCGCCAAGGTCTTAAGTTTAGGTCATGCTCACATAAGTGAGAACCTGGCTGAAAAGGGGGAGTTTTGTAAATCAAAATTATGGGATGCCATTGTTTTAGACTGAGCTCATGCACTAGGCCCCAACAGAACAAAAATGGAGTTGTTCATGCTAAATATGACATATCAAACTAAGACTTTAAAGAAACACAGATCTTACACCAGAAAAAAACAGGTTTTGTTTTTCTCCTGTAAACAGGACATTCCAGCATAAAGAGGTACCCACTACTCAGTCCTTGTGCCTATCTTTGCAAGACTCACTGTTCTACTGTTTCCCAGTGGGTTTCAAGACCAAATGAAGTACATTTATGATGGTAATACTGACATCAATGACTAAAGTTTTAGTCAATCTCTCAAAATTAAGAAAATGACCAAAAGGGGGGAATTGTTAAAGCAAACTAAATACGGCCTGAGAAAGACTTTGTACTTCTGTATTTGAGTCTTTGTGGATGGACTACAACCTAACTTAATAGGTGGACAAGAATGAAAACCTAACTTAGAAGTATGTGCCCATTACAATCGCTGAGTCTTGGCCAATCCCAGCAGCCATACGTCAACCAGTCATACACTGCTAAGTGTTCAATCTGTGTTCAAACAATCTGTAACCAATCCAGCTATTCTGTACCTCACTTCTGATATCTGCATGTCACTTTACTTTTTTGTCTACCAATTTGTTCTGACCATGGAGCACCCCTGGAGTCTCTCTGAATCTGTCGATTCTGGGGGCTGCCCAATTTGCAAATCGTTCATTGCTCAATTAAACTCCTTTAAATTTAAATAAGCCGAAGTTTTTCTTTTAATAATATATAATACGGGTTATAATACATTCCAAATCCAAAACTCAAAAATCTGAAATGCTCCAAACTCCAAAACCCTTTGAGCACTGACATGATGCGCAAAGAAAATGCCCCCCGAAGCATTTCAGACTGCAGATTTTCACACTAGGGATGCTCAAGTAGTATAATACACATATTCCAAAATCCAGAATTCAAATACTTCTGGTTCTAAACATTTCAGATAAGGGATACTCAATCTATACTACCATTTTCTGCACAAAAGGCGAAGAACCATAATATTACCCAGTTTTTTCCCATAGGTGTCTCTCACCTCAAAGTATGGTCTCAAAGAATGAACATGACCATGTTCCAGAGAATCATCCAGGTTGCATATTTAGAAGGCATATCTCAGAACCATAAAATTAGATGCTCTGGTGAGGCTCAAGAATCTGCTTTAAAAAAAAAAAGTGAGTACCCAAAGTTTACAAACTACTGCAGGGATTAAAAGTGGGTTTTATTTCTTTCTTCTTTATACTTGTCTGTGTCTTCTACATTTTTCTACAGAAAACAAGTACAGATAGCCCCCATATAATGGTTTGACTTATGATTTTTCTGCTTTATGATGGTGCAAACGTGCTACACATTCAATAGAAATTGTAATTCAAGTACCTATACAACTATTCTGTTTTTAACTTTAAAAGTATGGTATTCAATGAATTACATGAGCCCATTCAATACTTCATTATGAAATAGGCTTTGTGTTAGATGATTTTGCCCAACTATAGACTAATGTAAGTGTCTGTGCATGTTTAAGGTAGGCTAAGCTATGATGCTCAGTAGGTTGGATGTATTAAATGCATTTTTGACATAATATTTTCAACTTATGATGGGTTTATTGGAATGTAATCCCACTGTAAGTCAAGGAGCATGTGTATTTCTTTTATAATTGGGTAGGGGAGGGTTAGAGGCATAAGCTGTTTTGTTTTGATAAGGCCAGGGGAATGGTGAAGGAGAGAAAGGGCTTGCTTCTCCTTTTTCTCTTGCCCACGTGTCTACAGAGGATAAAAAGGGGGCACATTTACTTCTGGGTGGTTTCCATGCCTCACAGCTTAGAGCAGGAGTGAGAGAGCACAGGTATTTTTCCAAATTGGTGTTCTTCACTAATCAGGTCAAACTGTGGAAGTACTTGCCTCAGTTCTTTATTTAGCTAGAGCTAAATGCTCTGAGCGTTATGGCTTTTTTTTTT